ATCTTTAAAAATGGCAATAGTTCACCAGATGCGAGGTAATTTCTTGATTATGTATCTAAAGATAGAGCATTTTCGAATGCAGCCTTAATTCTTATCATAATAAACACTATTGACTATTGGTGAGAATGATATGAAACCTTGAAAAGGCACAACTCTAGGTCAAGACCTTTCTAATGATACCAAACTCAACCATATAAACCCATTTTATCATATAAATGCACTGGCCACGAAATTTTTTTTATTCTCTTAATAATATAGATTATTCTTATTATGATAATTATTATTGCTATTTTAAGGGAGGGGTCTGGGTTTCCGCGTAAAAAAAAACACTTTTTTTGTGATTTTTTATCTCAAATATCGATTGAGCAATTTTATTCAAACCTTCTATACATTATTGAGCATAGTTTTGACTATGTTCTATAAATTTTTCATGCAAAAATATTAAACCATTAGCCCGTGACAGAGCTTTCCCCAGGACGTCTTGAAAAGAAAACAATTTGCGGTGTTCACTGTAACTCGGCTGGAAATTATCTGAAAATGAAAAACCATAAAAATTTAGTTAAATTATAAACAAATCTTCCCCCCAACGTTCTCTAATTATTTTTTTTTTAATTTAAAAATTTTTGGCGGTCATCTAAAGTGTGAACCGTTATTTTCGACTAAAATTTTTGCCATTTTGTGGGTGGGAAACACCCTTAATGTTAAAAAAAAATTTTTTACTAAACGTAGGGTGGAGGTATTTTACATGAAAAAAATTATTACGAAATTTGAAATGAATCGGTCGAGTAGTTTTCAAATGGCAGTGATCACGGTCTTCGAAAAAGTAGTTTTGAGAAAAACGCGTTTAAAATTTGTGAAGCAAAATAGTGAAGAAAAAAAATTATTTTTTAAACTTACACAGAATCATCAATTCCAGCTCTATACAGCACACATCCTTCAGCATTGTCGATGTCTTCAGCCTGTTTTTTTTCAAGTCTTCGTTTTATTCTGGCTTCTTTGCTCTGCTGCACAGCTTGGAACTCGGCCCTATCAATGCGATTGCTGTCCGTAGATGATACATACTCGTGAGCGCTTGGGCCGACACTGACGTCCATGTCAGACAGAAAAGTTAGAAGAGCACCAGCACCTTCATTGAATGTGCATGCAGCTACATAAGATGCAAATTTCACAATTTGTCTGCTGCCAGATAATTTTTTCGGTGCAATTCTCCAAATCAGCTGGTTCAAACTTTCGTTGGCATTTTGAGTAAAACCTCCAAGACACCTTTCTAGAAGTTTGTCTTTACTCAAATCTTCATAAATCGGTTTGATCGCTTCTATGACTTCTTGTGGAAGTGGAGTGTAGTCATGATTAAAATTTTCCACTCCTGTTGTGGCCAAAGCTTTTTGATACGAACACCACGAGTTCTCACTGCTCATGCACTTATGGTGTTGAGGATAATCGTCTGTTGACTGCTGGTGGTAGAACGTTGCCCAGACTGCATTTTTCATTCCTTCTAAAGAATCACAATTATGTCTGATTGCTGCTCCGTAGTATCGACTCAAATTATCAATGACTTTTCCAGTGAGCTTTCCTTTGCCACCGAGTAATTTAATTTGTCTTGTTTTACCAGCATTTTTTCCGGTTTTTACAACTGTTTGTTCAACAGTTCTATTTACTAGATCACGCAGACGTTTACCCATTCTTTTTTGCACGTGACCTACACATTCTTTTTTATTTATAATAAAATTTTCACCATAAGGTTTAGCTTTTACTAAATTGCCGTAAGTTTTACTATCTCCGTCTCCAACATAGTTGCTGATTTTCGCTCCGTATTTTTCTTCTGATCGGCGAAACATTTCGATGACAGCATTTACTTCCATGTTACCTGATGGTCCGGTGTGATTAGCTTGGCATTCATCTTCTCCAACATGTTCTTCGTACCAATCTTTAAATTCATCAGTATTTAATTGATTTCTCCATAATTTGCAAGCCTGGCAATGCGAACTACTTACGAAAATATCGATAGCTTTTCGATGCTGCAGCAAATAGATTTCATGAGATCCAAATAAGATTGTTTTGATAGAAAACTACTTGCTATGTCCATGAGCCCGCAAAATTTATTGCAGCCTGCTAAACCTAAACCTAATGTACGCATTACAAAGGCAAAACGAGTGTTGATTTCATAGCGATGACCAGTTTTCTCACTCGACGGTATAAAGCGTGGATCACAATTTGTACATTTGACTTGGATTTGGAAGCCAAGTCCTTCTTTTTTACAGCTCTTGAACTCGATTGAACCATCACACTGAGCACATTTTACTAAACTTGCGATGGTTGAAAACACAAGCAAAAAATCTATGATTCTAAAATGTTTTTCAACATCTTCCGGTAGACTAGCACTCGTATTTAGTTTTATTTTCTTCGCCGAAGCACTTCTGGTGGTAGCCTCATCTTTTATTTTTTTTTTCGGGTTTGGTCTTTTTTTTGCTCGACACAAATAGGTCCTTCCACTTTGAAGGTCTTCTCGTGAAATTTTACTTACTCTCGGCATTATTGCTCAGGAAATTTTTTGAAAAAATAAAATTACAAGTGCACGGTCGAACGTCTGATCACTAACTGAAGCTCGTTTCTTTTTTCAAAATAATGTAGTGTATAGTATACATACAAATATAAAATATATCTGTATGGTTTTAGTTACCTGCCTTTACTAAATGAAATATTTCGAAAACTGGATATGGGATCAGGACAATAGCAACAAATAACCTGTATACCTGCTCGACAGCTGCACTGCAATCCCAACCGCCCGTAGCTGTTAGAGTTAGAGCGTTAAAGGCCCCGGGACTAATTAAACAATAACTTCAAGAATATTGCTTAGATCGGATTAAAATTTTGAGGACATATTCTTGAAATGTTAAACAATAAGATAAAACATAAAAAAAAATCGATTTTTCGAAATTGAAAACCCTTACCCCGCCCTTAAATATTATTGTCTGCCACATGAAAGTCATGCTGCTGTCACAGGAAAATCATGTGGCAGTCATATGGAAAAAATCATGTGGCTGCCACAGAAAAATCATGTGGCAGCCACATGAAAAAATCATGTGGCTGTTAAGAAAAATCATGTGGCAGTCACACGAAAATCATGTGGCTGCCACAGAGGAATGTATCATGTGGCAGCCCCAATTTTTTTTTTGCGTGTAGATTTCAACTATCGACATATTAAAGAATAAAACTTTAATTCAACAAATTTTCATTTTTGAAGCACTAGCATTACATTTCATAATAACTCTAATCTCAAAATTTTTTTCGTTGAGTCTATTAAACTTAGCTAGATCAAACATTGTTGCGTAACTGAACATCCTCTCAACTGAAGCTGATGAGGCTAGAGGGGTATTAAATTTAAAAAACAACTGTTTAATTATAGGATGAGAATTTAACAACTGAAAATCGGTCCTTTTACTCTTGCCAAATTCATTGTAGATTACTTATTGATCCCAAGTTCCTAACACTGTTTCATCATTCGTTGTATGATCAGGATGTGGAGTAAATAAGAAGAAACTATTATCAACTTGATCGTTGGCTTGTTCCTGGTGTCTTTGGTTATCATTATTTACAATAGATGTTATAGCCTCCTTCAATGCTTCCAGAACATTAATTTTTGCATGGTCAGGTAAACTTTTTAACCATTCCAATTTAAACTGGGGATGGGTTGCAGCAGCAATTGCAGCATTTCGGCCTTCCTCAACAACTTCAAACATATTTTTGAAACGAGTTTCTAATGCTGTAATCAATCCATTGACGAGGTCGTCACAATATTGAAAATTTAGTTTTTGACATTCTATTAGCCTGTTTTTCGTTGAAATCAGTGTTGGAAGAAGGAATCCATACGAGGCTACTTTATCTCCTTGTAGAATATCCAGAGCTTGAGCAATAGGACGATGACAATGAAGAAACTCCTCCATGAACCTATAAAGTTGTAAAGTTAAATGGAAACTGATTTATTTATGTTCAAGAGTCCCAATTTAATTAGATTGAACAAATAATTTCTCAAATTTTTGAAACACTTACAATTCATTCAGAGTAAGTCAAAAATAATTATTACCTGAAATCATCTCTGTCTAAAGTTTTATCTGGATTCAAAGCCTCCATATTTGATAAAATCTTCTCTTGTAAGCCGAAAATCTGCATCAATGAATCATACAAAGAATTCCATCGCGTTGCGACAGGTCTCTTTAAACTTTGATCAAGTAAAGCTACCAAATTTTCACTTTTTGTTGATGATTGCAGCAGCTTTCATAAAGAATTACAGCCTTCAAGCATACTTGTGTAATTCGACTGCAATGATTCTGTTGCAGCAATAATTTTCATAACATCTGTCGTAGCAACTAGATTAAGGATGTGACTGGCGCAGCGTATGTGATGTGCAAGTGTTTCTACTGGACAATTATCAGGCCTGCTTTCAAAATCTTCAGCCTCTATACAGTCGTCTTCATCTATTTCACATTGCGGCACTTCTAATTCGCTGACCTCTTCTATAAATATCACAACTGATTGATATTAGCCAAAACAATAGCAAATTTAAAAAATAACATCAAATAAAATAATTTAAAAAATTAGTTATTTTTATTTCGTTTTAATTATTATTAAAGTTGATGCATAGGTTATTTTACAAATTAAAACATTTCATGTATAATGAATATAAGATCAAAAACTTACCCAGGAACAGTAACTCATTGCTAACTCCTAACTCATTAAAAGCCTTTACGTAATTTGACCCATTGTCAGTTACAGTGGCTGTAATCTTATGCTTATCAATGCCAAATGATCTGTGAATACTTTCGATAGTTTTAGCTATTCTATCATAAGAATGTATACCTGTTAAACGTCGACATGCCATGGCGTAAAATCTACGCTCAAATGAGTTTTGGTCAATCTTGAAATCAAACAAATAAAAGTGAATTTCTACTTAACAATTAGACAAAGAAAATAATATTGTTTAATTCAACTTTATTTTATATCAATAAAGTTTAAAATCTATAAATGAAGTTGTAAGAATTAACTCCCCATTCGTAAAAAAAAAATTACACCGATGCATCAATAAACTTAAAAAAATTCAATAACATATTCAGTCAGTCAAATTAGAAGCAATCAAAAGAATATCTCACCCAGTGAACAGTCATGCCAATAAAACGACGGCTTTTGGAGGACCAAGTGTCAGCTGTGATACAAACATATTGTGCACTTTTAATCATATTTTTCAAAGACAACATATTATGTTTAAATGTATCTTCGATTTTCCGTGCTACTGTCCTAGCTGATAAATGTCGAAGAGGCATACCACGATTTTTGATATGCATATCTGAAAGTTATAAAAATATAGCAATTAACCAATAATTTAGTTTTAGCTTTACTGATAATTACACAGAAAGAAAAATTTCTTGATTGGAGAACATAATTCTTGACTCAAGAAAATTTGTCGGGTGCCTGAAGGAAGACCGAAGTTCTGTTGGCCGAAGTCAAAATTTTTCTTGAAATTCTGTTCTTGGTGGGAGTAATTTTTTCTTAATTCTAATTATAATAAATACTTGATACAATAAATTTTTATATTTGATCAAGATTTTTAGATACTTTAGGGACGCAGCGCCACCTATTTCGGCTGAGAAAAAAATTTTCTCACCTTGAGAAAATTTTTCTCTTCAATATTTGATACCCATTATATATTATTTTAGCGTACAATTATACATATTGAATGAAAAAAATGATTCAATATTATTTGATCTTCCCATTTGACATGTTAATCAATAAAAACATTAATGAAAATTTATATTACTTCTTTCTTTATATTTAACTTTTGGAGCAAGAGAGAAATTTTCTCAAGATAGGAAAATTTACTTTTATCAAGAACTAAATTTTTTGGAGCAAGAGGCTGAATTTTCTCAAAACAACAAGATTTTCTGGGCTCAAGTGAACCTTTTTGTCCGTGCATTTGTCATTAGTAAATGGAATAAAATTATACATTAATTTAATTATACCATCAAAAATTTTCCTGAAAGATGGTGACTCCACTGCGTTGAAAGGAACCAAGGTTTCTAATATCCAATTAATAATATTTGCTTCAAAAACCGCCTGAGAAAATTTGCACATAGTTTTAGTATTATCTTTTTCTTCTGTAATTTTTTGATTTTTCTTTTCGGTGACGTATTTATCATAATCTTTTTTCTTATTACCGTGAACTGTCTGAAATATAAAAAAACTTTTTTTAATTCATAACTTACAATTATAAATACTGAAAAAATACAAATTCTCCACTATTTCACCTTTATGTGAGAAATATAATTAGAAAGAGCTTTCAGTGATCCACGAATGCTATGATTCTTATTATGATCTTTTTTGCAAATTTGGCAAATGCCAACAACCGTACCATCGATGGAAGATTTTTCCAAATCCGGTATAAAAAATGTACCATCGAGATAGGGACGTTTATTGCACTCGGCAATCAATTGATTTTTTATCTCTTGAACATTCTGTACACGTCCTAACTCAGTTTCAGGTTCTTGTTCATTCATATCTTCATCATGTGCAAGAACCAAATCTTGGCTTGATGAAACAGAGCTGTCGTCTGACATCACAACACAAGTAGTTCTGATCCTATAAAATATAAACAAAATGTACAAAATAATACTTATTGATGTTATGAATAATACTATGGTACATTATTTCAAAAATGAAAAATCTACGTGGAAAAATAGATAAATTTTTTTTTTAATGCAAATAAAAATTATCCTAAATGGCCAGAATCTTTTGAATGAAGTATACAAATATTTTACATACCTGTTTTACTCAATAACACTTTGCGTTTTAACGTTATAAATATGAGAAGTTGTTTTGTTTTGTATTAACGTACGTTTGGAGATATAAACGACAATAACTATAAACAATTAAATAAATATTTTAATTATTGAAGAAAGAAATCAGATACATTAACTGTTCAGAATTTGTTGAAAGAGAAGTTTGATCAAAACACTGCCAAGATGTCTATTACACCTAGATAATTATCACACAGTGCCACCTAGGCTTATAAGCGCCAAAAAAATTTGAATTTAAAATCATTGATGAAGATCATTTATTTTCTTTTGAAAATATTCACAGTTATTACTGGAAATATTAATTAAGATCTTTGAGAGAGATATTTTAAATTATTTTTATTCATTGATAACCTTAAAAAACTTGAATAAAATTTTTCTAAAATTTTAAACATCAGTAAACGTATAGATAATAAATACAGCTTAAAAAATTGAAAATACAGAAAAAAAATTTTTTTAAAATCCTTTTTTTTCGGGTTAGGTAAGAAATTTGAAAAATTCTAAGAAACATTCTCAAAGAGGAATAAAAGACGAAAAAACTGGCACCCAAATCGAAAGGAGTCGGGTTCAAAAGTGGTCGATTTAACATGAAATACCCCTCGTGTTCATCCATACTATTAACTTTTAGAAAAAGGCAATGAGATCATACTGACAGAAAATGTAAAACCAAGAGTTTTTAATAATTTTATGCGATGTTCGATAAAAATTTAGAACTTCATAAACTATAAATTTTAATGTGTCTATGGTAAAAATGATACCATGAAATATGACTGAGCTATAGACATTTAAATTAAAAAAATCAAAGTTTGAAAGTTATTCCAAAAAAACCACTTTTAAAAAAAATTTTTTTCACAGTTTTGTTGAGATTTCTCGAAAATATTAAAATTTTTTTACATTTAAATATTTAAATAACAAATAATTAATAAATAGATTAATTATAAATACTCAAGTAACAAATAATATTTTTTGAACTAAATAGAAAATATTAAAATAATAAGTATTTATTTTTTTTTAATTAAAATTATCAATAAAATTAAAAATGGGCAATCGACTAATTATAAAATTTTTCGGTAATTGAAAATAAAATTATAAAAATTACTCATTTTTCAGATAACAACTATTAAATAATGGTAACGCTGGCGAAAATATCGTTATTGCCTGTGTAATAATAACAGCATAAAAAAAATATTTGATAAAATAAAAAAAAAAAAAAACTGAATCCGACGAGGATTCGACCACAAAAGTTTTATCGTCGCAAGCTGATACTTACACCGCAGAGCCATTTAACCGCTTATCAGGTAAATGTTAAAACTTATATAAAAACTGCGTTTGGGAACTTCCAGTAACCACACGTACTAGCAATAATTATTATCAATAACCATTATCAATAATAATAAAAATAATTACAATTATTATTAATAACAGCATAAAAAAAAATATTTAATGAAATAAAAAAATAATTTAATCGGACGAGGATTCGACCACAAAAGCTTCGTTGCCGCGAGTTGACACGCCACACAGCCATTTGACCACTCCTTGCACGAACGTTAAAACTTATATAAAAACTACGTTTGGGAATTATCAGTAACCATGCTTACTAGCAATAATAATAATTATTATTATTATTATTTAATAATTATTAACTATTTGCTACAAAAACGTAGAAAAATAATTGATATTTCTTTATTAAAAAAATTTTTTTTTCTTAATTTCTATTAATTAAAAAATAATTTATTTTTCATGTATAAAAAAAACTTGAACCTATATGTTGTAAACAAAAAAGCATTATTTATTTATTTTAATAAAAATTGCAGCATTATTTTTCCCGCTGTATGTTTTGGCTGAAATCAGATTCTGAGAAATTCACACGAACACAGAGCTACTGTTGTGTGAGTTACTCTTCTGTGCCTTGTGGCAGGGGCTTCATTTCCCTCGATTTGTCGACGTGTCTCGGATTTTCTGGGCTCCACTCGGCTTTCCGATTCACAGACACACATTGCTTACTTGTGTACGGGCGCGCGCGACGCCTAGAGAAGGGGTAAAAAAATCGCACGATCTGGCCACACTGGCACGGACTTGTTCTTGTTAATCGTTCTTTGTTACTGCGTTGTTACATCGAGTTATTTTCTATTGTAAACAGTAATTGTTAGTTGATGTAATTATAGCTAAAAATGACACGTAAGTATTTTGAAAATATCTATGTTATTTTAGTGCATAAAGGTAATTAATTAATTTTGTATTGTAATTATAACCTATAAAATTTGTATCAGTTTAAAGTAGAAAGTAAAATTCTACAAGCAGCTGATGATATTTCCTGACTAACTTTAATTCATTTATATCACTAAACTAAAAAATAATTCTATAGTTTTATATTTAACTATTCTAATAATTTTAGATTTTTAACTGAATATAATGGATTGATAAGTTAAAATATTTTCATTACATCCAACTTCTTCATTTTATTTTCAATCAATTTTTTAGTTTTCTTTTTTTTTTCTACTTTTGAATTAAATTTGGGTTTGTCAGATTAAGTCGTTGGCAAAAAATATAACTCAGTGCAGAATTTTTAACAAAATATTAATTAATTAATTACTATCCATAATTTAAGAATTCATATTTAAATACATATTTTTTTAACTAGGTAAAAGTAGAGACAGGGTACGAAATCCCACTCTTCCGCTGCGCAGAAGCCATCGACGATGACAGGAGAGTATCGATGCTTCATTAGGAAGAGCGTCGCTACAAATATCCACAACGTCTGGGAAAAAATCTAGTTCACAGCAATCAACGGGTCGTCTAACACCTCCAATTAACCATGATACTCTAAATCTCCAAGAGAGTCCTCAAAGACAAGCTGGTGTTGATTCAGGACCTTCAGTGCAACAAGGACCAACTTTGATACCTCGTCATGGAGATCGTGAACGCCATGTAACTTTAAATGGTCAGCTTACATCTCAAGCAGCTCTAAATACGCCACCACCTTCAGCTGATGAATCTTTTCGTCGTATTTCACAGTCTACAGAAAGAGACAATCGATCAGGGCCAGTGAACACCCAGGTGCAAAGTTCAAGTCAACTAGAATCCCAGAATAAACGTTTAAATCAAGCTCACTCGCAAGTTTTCAACCCGCAACCTTCTACAAGTCAACAAATAGTAGGAATTGGTCATGGAATATCAACAATTGGTAACAATTTAAGATCTTCAGTCATGCAAGAACAGACTTTGATGTCCCGTCATGGAGATCGTGAACGTCACGTAACTTTGAATAGTCAGCCTACGTCTCAGGGATATCTAAATACGCCACCGTCATTAGCTGATGGCTCTGCTCGTCGACAAGAAGATACAGAAGGTCACGTCACATTAGCTGCTCAATTTACGTCTCAGATTCCCCCACATAATATTGTGCGATCGTCTTCAGCTCATAGCTCTGCTCGTGGTGGCTCACGTTCTCAACTCGAAGATAACGCTCAATCAGTACCAGTAAATCCACAGCTACACAATACTAAAGCTCCAGAATCCCAGAATAAACGTTCAAGTCAAGCTCACTCACAAGTTTTCAACCCGCAACCTTCTACAAGTCAACAAATAGTAGGAATTCATAGTACGATAGAACATCTCGAAGCTGGTCAGACAAAACAAATTGGTAACAAATTGGTAACAATTTAAGATCTTCAGTGTCGCAAGAATAGACTTTGATGTCCCGTCATGGAGATCGTGAACGTCACATAACTTTGAATAGTCAGCCTACGTCTCAAGGATATCTAAATACGCCACCGTCATTAGTTGATGGCTCTGCTCGTCGTCAAGAAGATACTGAAGGTCACGTCACATTAGCTGCTCAATTTACGTCTCAGGTTCCTCCACATAATATTATGCGATCGCCTTCAGCTCATAGCTCTGCTCGTGTTGGCTCACGTTCTCAAGTCGAAGATAACAATCGATCAGTGCCAGTGAACACCCAGTGCAAAGTTCAAGTCAACTAGAATCCCAGAATAAACGTTTCAAGCTCACTCACAAGTTTTCAACCCGCAACCTTCTACAAGTCAACAAATAGTAGGAATTGGTCATAGAATATCAATAATTGGTAACAATTTAAGATCTTCAGTATTGCAAGAACAGACTTTGATGTTCCGTCATGGAGATCGTGAACGTCACGTAACTTTGAATAGTCAGCCTACGTCTCAGGGATGACACGCAAAATCGTGAAGTGTTCCACATTTTTAACAAATATAAATAATGCTGTGAAGCGGGAAAGAATAGGAGTTACGGATAATTATTACGTGAAGCGTTCCAACAACACGAAATAATGTGCAATCGCCTTTAGCTCATAGCTCTGCTCGTGTTGGCTCACGTTCTCAACTCGAAGATAACACTCAATCAGTACCAGTAAATCCACAGCTGCAGAATACTAGAGCTTCAGAATTACAGTATCAGCGATTAACTAAAGCTTACTCACAAGATTTCAACCCGCAGCTACTGATGCGTCGAGAAGTAACGGAAACTGTCAGAGAAAATATTGAATCAACAAATACTGATTCTTACCAGCAAAACAAAAAATCGTATCATCAGTATAGACAATCCAATCAACGAAACAAAAAGTTCCGTGCTAATTCTTATAACCAGCAAATCAAAGGAGTAGAAAAAGCAACAAAGTTTAGCTGAAACTGAAGAACGATTACGTGAGCTGGAGAAGGTCAAATATAAATTTTTTTGTTATATATTATATATTTCAGTATTAACCCAACAAATTAACTGATTATTTATTTTTAATTCAGATAGTAAAAAATAATGAATTAAAGGAATCTGTCCCCGTTGAGGAAGTAAAATCAAGTCAAGCATTGATGCCGGCTGTAACACATATGGCATACCTTACACCACCTCAATCTCCACAGATACCAGTAAATTTTATGACGCCTTCCCCAATGGTCTCTTTACCAATGATGAAAAACTCATTGAACCCAATGCATTTTTTCATGAATGCTACGTCTATGGCTGGTATAAGCCCACGGATTCATCTTGGTGCTATGCCGCCAATGGTTCCAACGATGCCTTCACAACTGAATCCGATGGCTTCAATGCATCCATCAAACTCTCGATTGTCAGCTGGAATGCCTACTGTTGCACCAATCATTCAACTAAATCCAAATTTGAGACACAATGTGATGAGCAATGTACATCCTTATGTTTTTGATCCCTATACTTTGTAACGTGGTAAATTTTTATTCGACGCCCAATACTTGGGATATTATAATATTCCAGGCTCGAATCCAACGTCGTGAATGTTATGTGTGAATAAATGAAAATTGTACTAATTTTTATATATTTATTTTGTGTAAAATGCGTAACGCTGGACGGGTAACGAAGACAGAGCGAGTCACAGTGGGTACGAGGCTATGCATTGGAGCGACAAGGATAGAGCTACGACGTAAACAAGATAGTACCGAAGCGAGTACCGAAGTGACGAGGCACCGAGCGGCGTAAACACCCGAGAGACCTGGATACCGATCGACGCTGCAGTGCCGCTATTTTCCAATACGACGATCAACATCGATGACAGTTGGTTAGTCAGTACTGCAGGAGCAGAGGTGACTAAAAACTGTCGTGAAGGTCCGT